CTTTTTGCAGGTGGACATCCATTTTTGCCACCACCATTTGTTAAAAAGACTGTTCTCCATTTGATGGACTTTGGACCCTTGTCGAAGGTCTTTGTGGAAGATTAGGTGGCTGTAGGTGGATGGATTTATGTCTGAGTTCTCAATTGTTTTCCATTGGTCAGTGTATCTGTTGTTGTACCAGTACCAGGCTGTTTTGACTATTGTAGCTGTATTGTAGTTTCTGAGATCAGGTAGTGTGAGTCCACCTACTTTATTCTTCTCAATAGTGCTTTACTTATCTGCGGCCTTTTCCCTTTCCATATAAAATTAATGATTAGTTTTTCCATCTCTTTAAAGAATGCTATTGGTATTTGGATCAGGATTACATTGTATTTGTAAACTGCTTTGGGTAGAATTGACTTTTTCATAATGTTGACTCTACGTATCCATGAGCTTGGTATGTTTTTCCATTTATGTAGATCTCTTTAGGTTTCTTGCAGTAGTGTTTCGTAGTTTTCTTTGTATAGGTCTTTTACATCCCTGGTTAGATTTATTCTTAAGTATTGTATTTTTTTAGGAGCGATTATACATGATATTGTTTTCCTGATTTCCTTTTTGTTGTTCTCTTTATTGGGGTATGGGAATTCAGCTGATTTTTGTATGTTTATCTTGCATCCTGCTACTCTCCTGAATCTTTCTATTAGTTCCAGTAGTTTTCTCATGGCGTCTTTGGGTTTTCTATGTGTATAGTATCATATCATCCACAAATAAGGACAGTTTAACTTCTTCATTACCAATCTGGATGCCCTTTATTTCTTTTTCTTGCCTTATTGCTCTAGCTAGGACTTCCAGCACAATGTTAAATAGGAGTGGTGATAACGGACATCCTTGTCTTGTTACTGTCCTCAGGGGGAATGTTTCCAGATTCTCTCCATTAAGAATGATGTTGGCTGTTGCTTTCATATAGATGTCCTTTATTATGTTGAGAAATTTCCCTTCTCTACCTATTTCATTGAGAGATTTTATCAGGACTTTGTTGAATGCCTTTTCTGTGTTGATTTTCTCCATTAAGAATGTTGTTGGCTGTTGCTTTTGTATAGATGCCTTTTATTATGTTGAGGAATTTCCCTTCTATACCCATTTTATTGAGAGTTTTTATCAGGACTTTGTTTAATGCCTTTTCTGTGTCAATTGAGATGATCATGTGATTCTTTTATTTTATTTATGTGGTTGATTATGTTGATTGATTTTCTGATGTTGAACTATCTTTGCATACCTGGAGTCATGGATTGAATTATGCCCCCCAGAAAATGTATGTATCAGTTTGGCCAGTGATTTTCCTATAGGTTGTAAATCCTGCCTCTATGATGTTAATGAGGGAGGATGGGCGGCAGTTGTGTTAGTGAGGCAAGACTCAATCTACAAGATTGGATTGTATCCTGAGGCACTCTCTTGAAATATAAAAGAGAAGTGGGCAGAGAGACAGGGTGACCTCATACCACCAAGAAAGCAGTGCCAGGAGCAGAGCGTGTCCTTTGGACCCGGGGTCCCTGCGCGGAGAAGCTCCTAGTAGGTACAACATTGATGAGAAGGCCAACAGAGAGAGCAAGCCTTTCCCTGGAGCTGACACCTTGAATTTGGACTTTTAGCCTACTTTACTGTGAAGAAATAAACTTCCCTTTGTTAAAGCCATCCACTTGTGATATTTCTGTTGTAGCAGCACTAGATGACTAAGACAGAATTCGGTACCATGAGTGAGGTGCTGCTCTAACAGATGCCTAAAATGTGGAAGTGGTTTTGAAACTCTGAATGGATAGAGCAGTGGCAGCAGCAAAGGACCAACAGCAGCAGAGAACCTGCAGCAGCAAAACCAGGAGACCAGTGCAAGACAGCACTGGAGCCGACCCACGGAGCAAGGGAGCTGAGTACCTGTGCACAGGAGGCTTCTGGCAGAGTGGGGTGCCTCCAGGTACTTATTGGTGGAGCTAGGCTTGCTGACCCACAGAACGAGAGAGCTGAGTGCCTGTGTGCTCGAGGCTTCCTGGCAGAGTGGGGTGCCTCTTGGCACTTACTGGTGGAGCTACAGAGCTTTGGAACACTTGCCCCAGCGGGGCAGGTGTGAGCGTGAGTCCTGAAGACTGGAGAGGCTAAGAAATCAGGAAACAAGCTGAAGAGACAAGGAACACAAGAAGCTGAGCTGCCTTGGTCTCAAAAGGTATGGCTGTGACCTCAGGGGTTTCAAAGGGTGGAGCCGTGGCTTCTGGTGCTTCTAAGGGTGGAGTTGCCACTCAGATGGACTGGGAGAATAGTGTGCCAAAAGCCAAGGGTGGAGAGTTGCTGTCCCAGTGGGCCTGGGAGGCAGAGCTGAAGCCCAAGGCCGCGGGGCCTCCGCTCAGAATCTGGAGAGTGTGGCCAATACCTAGAGTCTGGAGGGCAGGGCCATTATGTAAATTGTCTCAGAGGAGAGAAGATTATTTTCAAAGCCTTGAGGGCTAATGTAATGTGTTCTGCTGACTTGCTTGGTGCCTGTTATCCCTTCTTTCCTTCTAGTTTCTCCCATTTGTAATGTAAATGTCTAGCTTGTGCCTGTTCTGTCATTGTACCCTTGGAAAGAGATAACTTGTATTCTAGATTTCACAGATGAGAAGGAATTTTTGGATTTGGGACTTAGAGTTAAGACTTTTGCTATGATATGATGGGATGGATATGTTTTGTATGTTGCAAGGATGTGATTTTTTTGAGGTGGAATGTCATGGATTGAATTATGTCACCCAAAAAAAATGTATGTATCAGTTTGGTTGTGCCATGATTCCTGGTATTGTGTGATTTTCGTATATGTTGTAAATCCTCCCTCTATGATGTTATTGAGGCAGGATGGGCGGCAGTTGTGTTAGTGAGGCAAAACTCAGTCTACAAGATTGGACTGTATCCTGAGGCAGTCTCTTGATATATAAAAGAGAGAAGTGAGCAGAGAGACAGGGTGACCTCATACCACCAAGAAAGCATCCAGGAGCAGAGCATGTCCTTTGGAGCCAGGGTCCCTGCATGGAGAAGCTCCTACTCCCGGGGAACATTGATGAGAAGGCTGAAAGAGAGAGAGCCTTTTCCCGTAGCTGATGCCCTGAATTTGGACTTTTAGCCTACTTTACTGTGAAGAAATAAATTTCCCTTTGTTAAAGCCATCCAAATGTGGTATTTCTGTTGTAGCAGCACTAGATGATTAAGACACCTGGTATGAATCCTACTTGGTCATGGTGTATTATTTTTTTTTATATGATACTGAATTCTATTGGCTAGAATTTTTTTTTAGTAGTTTTGCATCTATATTCAAGAGAGATATGGTCTGTAATTTTGTTTTTTTGTGGTGTCTTTGCCTGGTTTTGGTATCAGGGTTGTGCTGACTTTATAGAATGAATTCCGAAGTATCCCTTTTTTTTTTCTATATTCTGAAATAGTTTGAGTAGTACTGGTGTAAGCTCGTCTCTGAGTGTTTAGTAGTATTCTCCAGTGAAACCACCTAGGCCAGGGCTTTTTTTGTTTCTAGTTTTTTTTTTTTATTACCTTTTCAGTCTCTTCTCTTGTTTTGGGTCTGTTCAGATTTTCAACATCATTTTCTGTTAGTTTGGGTAGGTAGAGTGTTTCTAGAAATTTGTCCATTTCCTCTAGGTTTTCAAATTTGTTGGGAGTATAGTTTTTCATAGTACTCTGTTATGATCCTTTGTATTTCAGTTGGGTCTGTTGTAACATCCCCCATTTCATTTCTTATTTGGGTTTTTTTCATCTTCTCCTGTTTTTCATTTGTCAGTGGGTTATTTTCGTCCTCTCCTGTTTTTCATTTGTCAGTTTGGCCAGTGGTTTGTTGATTTTGTTGATCCTTTCAAAGAACCAACTTTTGGTTTTATTGCTTCTTCTATTGTTTTTCTTTTCTCTGTTTCATTTACTTCTGCTCAGATCTTTGTTTTTTCCTTTCTTCTAGTGGTTGTGGGCTTCTTTTGCCTTTCTCTTTCTATTTGTTCAAGTTGTGTAGCTAATGTTTTGATTTTGTCCCTTGTTTTTTGATGTGTGCATCTCTTGGTATAAATTGACCTCTGAGCACTGCCTTTGCTGTGTCTGTAAGGTTTTGATATGATGCGTTTTCATTCTTGTTTGAGTCTAAGAATTTTTTTTATTCCACCTTTGATTTCTTCTATTACCCAGTGGTTTTTAAGCAGGGTGTTATTCAGTTTCCATGTATTTGTTTTTTTTTTTCCCTTGCTCTTCCTTTTTTAATTTCTACTTTGATCGTGTGATCAGAGAAGATATTTTGTATTATTTCAGCATTTTGGATTTTGCTGAGAGTTGCCTTGCGGCCTAAGATGTGGTCTCTTCTGGAGAATGTTCCATGTGCGTTGGAAAAGAATGTGTACTTTGCTGCTGTTGGATGGAGTGTTCTGTATATGTCTGTGAGGTCAAGTTGGCTGAATGTAGCCTTTGGATCTTCTGTATCTTTGTTGAGTTTCTTTCTAGATGTTCTGTCCTTTACCGAGAGTGGTGTGTTGAAGTCTTCTACTATTATTGTGGAACTGTCAGTTTCTCTTTTCAGTGCTGTTAGAATTTGTTTTATGTATTTTGGAGTACTGTCACTGTGTGCGTAGATATTATGATTGATTATCATTATGTCTTCATGATGGATTGTCCCTTTAATCATTATATAATGCCCTTCTTTGTCTTTTATGATGGATTTTGTTTTAAAGTCTGTTTTATCTGAGATTAGTATTGCCACTCCTGCTCTTTTTTGGTAGCTGTTTCCTTGATATATATTTTTTCCATCCTTTTATTTTCTTAATACAATTATGTCTTTGTTTCTTAGGTGTCTCTTGTAGACAGCATATTTGTGGATCCTGTTTTTTGATCCGTTCTATCACTTTTTATGGGTGCATTTAGGCCATTTATGTTTAGTGTAATTATTGATAGGTGTGAGTTTATTGCTGACATTTTGTAGTGATTTTTTTGTGTGCTGCTGACATTTTCTTTGTTCCTCTAAAAATATGGAATGCTTCACGAATATGCATGTCATCCTTGTGCAGGGACCATGCTAGTCTTCTCTGTATTGTTCCAGTTTTAACGTATGTGCTCCCTTTCCATACCTGTGTAAGACCTAATTTTCTTCAGATCCCTCATCCAATAAATTGCAACAAATTTTAATGCAGAAGCAGATATAAGAATTCACTCATCTTCTATTAAGCTAGACGGTAAAGAGAGTTGTAAAATGTAAAACAATCTTCTCTTCTCATTAGCTATTTTTTCCAAAATGTGAAAACGTACTTTTCATTAAAAATATTATTTACATTAACACTGTAATAGGTTTATTGTTACCTTTAAATGAATTAAATAAATATTTTTTAATTTTTTATTTGAATATCTAATACAAGTATTTATGAAGATCTGCATAAACAAAAGCTCTCTGGGACCCTCAATAATTTGGGGACCATAATGGGGTCTTGAGACCAAAAAAAATTTGATTTTTTTCATGATGTCATTTTATGAGATCTATCAAATAGTCCACAAGTTATTTGGCAGTTTCAGAGAAAATATGATAGTAATTTTATCTCCAAACATGTTTTGAAAATTAATGTAAAGTAATTTTTACCAAAATCCCCTTTATATTCATAATTGCTCACGTGCTGCAAGGTCTATCCATCTTGGTCAGCTCATCTTGTCTGACATTCAGTTAGTTAACCAAGTGATGTTTGTTTTTTCGTTTGCATGTTGTTGGTTAAATTTTCAATTTTCTTTTGGTTCAAAAGTGATTGAAGCATAAAAGTAAAATGACATAGTAAAACAAATGCCACAACTCAGAATGCTATCCTAAAAACAATGAACAGAGCTTTAGTGTTCATAAAGTATGTGAGTTTATATTTGTTAGGAAGTGATATGATTTGCACCAATAGCCAGAAATAGAAAAGTGCAAATATGAATATGGATCTCTGGAAATTAGATTTTATTGTAAGTGTGGTAGATTCATCCCTAGTCTCCAAACATTGTCTACTATGAGACTTTGTCAGATGGTTCCAAAAACACAAGAAACAAAGCATAGTGACTGCTTTGGCAAGCCATATTTTTCTAGAACAGCTATAAAATAGGGCTTTCTAAGTTGAAACTGATGAATTCTGTAAGTAAAGATGGAGAGAAGCCAAAACTACTAATGCATCATTCATAGTTGCACAGTGAATATGTCACAGTGGACATGTCACAGTGGATATGTTGCACCGTGGATATGTTATACCTTTGACAAGAAGCTGGTGAAACCAGCCAAAAAGCTAATGCTTATGTTTGGAGACAAGCTACTGGTCAATCTTCTTTATCAAATGACACTGTTGGACATTCACATATCAGTGGTATACAACATGAAGACTAATGTTTCTGGTTTTGTGAAATATGAAAAACTGTTTGCACCACCCAGGGACCTGTTCAAGCGTTCCAGATTATGGTTATTCAAACCATTAAGTATGAGTTTGCATGCTCTTAGCATATATGCAGAACATATATGAAGAAGAAAGTATTCATTGTTTCTCTTCTGTTTATTAGTTTAAAAATTAATCCATGCTACAGATACTTCATTTTGTTATTTTGTGATCTGTGGTATAAACTGGAAAAGGAGTAGACATCGGAATCAGTGCTGACAGAGCATCAGCTGAGTGCAGTTAGAAAGGGTATTACAATAAAAAGTTTGCCTTCCTTTCCCCCAGGCCTCTTCCCAGAGAACAGTTAGCAGTCAAGAGTGCCTCCTGATCTCGATTGAGTCTTTAATTAGAGGAAGAGTTAGCAAACTATGCCTGTTGGGTCAGATTTGGCCATCTGCCTGTTTTTGTATGCCTGGAAGTTTAGAATGGTTTGTATGTTTTTAAATGGTTGGCAGGGGGCGGGAGGGACCCCAAGAGAATAATATTTTGTGACATATGAATATTAAACTTAAATTTTCATGTCCATAAATAAAGATTTATTGGAACATAACCACACTCATTGGTTTATATATTGTAGAGTTGAGTAGTTGTGACAGAGACTATGCGGCCTGCAAAGCCTGAAATATTTTCTATCTGGCCCCTCAGAATAACTCCACTTTGATCCTTTTTACTTATTGTTCTTCCCTGTGAGAGTTAGTTTGTTGGAAGAAAGACTTCTACATTAAAAACAAGTTTGTTTGTTTGTTTTTTAAGTGTGTGAACTTTTCAAAAGGTCAGCCCAAAGAAATGAACTGGCATTTTCTTATTCTTTGGCACCCTGGGGGCAGAGGAGGGTGGGGTTCACAGTTCACTTTGAAAATACAGATTGAGTAATTCAAGGCAATATGTCTTAGTTTTGTAGTGCTGCCTTAACAAAAAATACCACGAGTAGGTGGCTTTAAAGAATAGAAATTTATTTTCTCAGTTTTGGAAGTTAGAAATACCGAATTAAGGGCAAAGGCTGCGGGGAACTGCCCTTCTTCGTCTCTTTCAGCTTCTAGTAGCTGCTGGCAATCCTTGGTTTATAGACGCACCTACCTCCATCTCTCCCTGTGTGTGGGTTTTTCTGAGTTGTCTGTAGTCTCCTTTATAGGACATCACTAAGAAGGGGGCAAACTTAGGATCTACCCTACTCTGATATGACCTCATTAACTTAACAAAAGAAACCCCTCTTTCCAAACAGGATCCCACTCATAGGTATAGGGGGTTAGGACTTCGACAGATATTTTGGGAGGACACAATTCAATCCATAACACAATATTAAGATTAACAATTTGTACCACCAGAGATTTTAAGTCTGGTAAAGGGATAAGAAACAATTCCTTCTTATAATTATTTGAATTTGAATATTTTTCTTATAAAAGAGATAATGCATAGCTTAAAAGGAAGTCTTTTGAATCATATTATTCCTGAAATTGATACCCCATGACCAGTCCAGCAAATGCCCACTCCCCTCATTCTTTCAAACTCAGAGATGGATTTCCTAAAAGTTTTAGTCTAATTGCCTCTCTCTGTAGCATTTGAAACGTTCCTGTAATTGTTAATTATGTTGACAGTTCTGTACTAAACTGTAAATAAGGTTGTTAGGTGTCTTCCGGGCTAGACACAGAAGGGACTATTTCTTGTCTGGGATAGTGTAGTATAATATCTCACAATGTTGGCTTTGCAGTCTGACTTATCAGTCAATCCTGTCTCTCCAGCTTTTGCTGAGTGAACCTGTTTCCTCATCTGCTATGAAATGGGAAGAATAATAATAGAGTTAATTGTGAAACTTAATTGAGATGATGCAAGTAAAATAATGCTGTTAAACTTTTTCCACAGCTGTTTTCTCTTTCGTCTTCTTTTGTTGTTGTTACTGTATCTTGAACACTTAACATACAGGCTTTTTTAAGTATTACATATTTTGGTAAATAGAATCAAGGTTTATTTTTAAATGTGTCACCAACTTTGTGCTTTAGAGAAGTCTGGAAGTTCAAATTAAAGCTTGCTATTTATCCAGAAAGTATCATCCAATAGTTTGTCATCCAGCAGCAACAATGGTATTTCTGTTTAACGGGGCG